CGCCGCCTCCGAAAAGGTTGAAATGTATTTAATATAATACCTAACGAGTAAATAGGTTTCATTCATATCTGTTACGTAATTGTATGATTGAATGAAATAGAAATTACTTCATTAGGAAATAGAAATTATTTTATACTTTTTAGTGCATTTCGAAGTCGGCGTATTTTTTTTTCTAAAAATTATTTTATAGGCGCTTGAAACGTCACCTCGATAGTCATCGGATAGAGTTATGCTTCGAAACTAGAATTCTGGATTCGGTATCTCATACATATACCGCTGCCGAATCCCAAACTCTGCTAATTTTTACGTCCCAGTTGCTCTTTCGATATATTCCATCCTTCGACTATCACTTATTATTTTACGACCGCAGGAGCGTAATATATCGTAGGTGATACGTAGACTAATTCGAACGATAAAAATGCTATTACCGTGTTTCGTTTGTCAAATGCGCATTTCATCGATGATTTCATCGAACCTAAATAAATGAAACGCATCGCAAGGAAAGCGTTACGTAAATTTATAGAATATCAGCGTGAAAGAACTAAAGATGATCGTCGAGCGTTGCCGCTTATTCGGTAATTCGGTGGAAGATTAACGGACTTCCGGTCGGTAAAGCGTCAAGAACAAAGAGACTCTCGGGGCGAGATTGCCGAAACGAGAGAGTTTAGAAAGGAAAGGCGCGAGGAAATGGAAGTCATTAGGACATCAGCCGCGAAGCAGCTTGAAGCTGGTCTGCCCACGCGGCGGGTCTACGTGCCCGCTAAAAATACCGACGAAACGCACCGCGATCGAGTATCGAGACCGAACGAAACAGCGCTTCCCTTAACGTGCGTGTTTTCCCTTCCGATTCCTGCCGGTTAAGTCCTTTCGAACTTTTTTCGAAAAACAGCTCTCTCGTTCGCCCTATTAATCGTTCAAACTATTTCAATTTTCTTTCGTAATTCGATCAAATAACTACATCCCCGAAACTGGATGCTCCTTTTTGTTCGCGATTCGGAATCGATGAAATTGTTTATCGGCCCCGTGGACTTTTTTCGGGACACGAAAGTTTCTAGTTTAAAACGTCGAACTCCTAATTTTAGGCGAAGCGCGCGTTTCGTAGGTCTGGGTCACGATCGACTGCGGTTCCGACGTTCGGGGGTTAAATCCTCTCGATAGAGAGGTTTCGCGCTCTATCGGTCTTTCGATGGAACGGTCGTTCGGAAGTTTGGCAGCTTCGAGCGAATTCGGGTCGATTCTGTAAGGCAGTGTAAGGTATAGGCGCGTGCAAGTTTCTATGGTCGTCGGTGACTCGGGGAGGCGAACGTCGCGAACGCGCGGGGACAACGATCGGCGGGAGAGACGCGCACCGACGCGCACCGACGCGCACCGACGCGTCTTGCTACCGAAAATAAACTCACCGCATTTCGTCCGGCCGTCCTTCTATCTTCTATCTTTCCTCTCGGTCCGAGCGTACGCCCGATAACCGACCTGTCTCTTCGCCGCCATCGTTATCCCGCTATCGCGGCGGGACTCTCCTCTGTCACATGGCGTCTCGTTCACCCGCGCGTTCATCTCCTTCTCCGTGATCCCGCGATCCCGCGATCCGTTCGCGATTACGACGCTCGAACGATTTGCTTTCAGATCGACACGAGTAAGGCAAAATGGTGGTCGGCGAGGCAAGCATACACAACATAATGGGAGGGATGGAGAGCACGGGTGGCGTCAGACTTCACAATCACAAACGGAAGTTGAAGCAGAGGTAGGTGTCGAGAAACGGCCGAATCGGAAGGAGAGATCGCGAATCGCGAGATTGGCACGTTCGCCGAATACTTGGCGAAACGTAAATAACGCGGACATCGTTTGTGCCCTCGCCAACGCGAAACCGTTCCTGATACGTTCACGATTCTAGCCAACGTTCCTCTCATTTTGCCACCTTTCTCTCGTCGCCAGGTTCGACATCATCAAGAAGCTCGGTCAAGGTACTTACGGCAAAGTCCAGTTAGGGCTCAACAAGGAAACCGGCCAGGCGGTAGCGATCAAGACTATAAAGAAATGTAAAATAGAAACGGAGGCGGATCTGATCAGGATACGAAGGGAAATTCAAATAATGTCGAGCGTGCAACATCCGAATATTATCCACATATACGAAGGTAGAAAACGATAGGAAAGGATCAAGTCCGATACCCCGATATATATCTCGATCGCGCATTTTTCTTTCAGTCTTCGAAAACAGAGAGAAAATGGTGCTGGTAATGGAGTACGCGGCCGGCGGCGAACTGTACGATTACTTGAGCGAACGGAAGAAATTGACGGAACAAGAGGCTCGGAGGATATTTCGACAGATAGCCATCGCCGTCTTCTACTGCCACAAACACAAAATCTGTCACAGAGACTTGAAGCTCGAAAATATTCTGCTGGACCAAGTCGGGAACGCGAAAATAGCAGACTTTGGTCTGTCGAACGTGTTCGACGAGCAAAGGCTGTTGAACACGTTCTGCGGCAGCCCTCTGTACGCCAGCCCCGAGATCGTCAAGGGTACTCCTTACCACGGTCCGGAGGTCGACTGTTGGAGCTTGGGCGTCCTCCTTTACACGCTGGTTTACGGTGCCATGCCCTTCGACGGGTCCAACTTTAAACGACTAGTCAAACAGATCTCGCAATCCGATTATTACGAACCTAAAAAACCCTCGCGTGAGTCTCCTTTCTTTTTCACCGGCCTTTTCTTCCCTCGCTGATACGGAACCGTTAACCGACGGTTATTCCCTGTTCGCAGCCGCGTCTCCCCTCATCAAAGATATGCTGACCGTTTGCCCCGGCAGACGAGCCGACATCGAAAGGATCTGCACTCATTGGTGGGTAAACGAAGGTTACGAGCAGAATTGTCTCGACATCGCCGAGGACCTGGCGGCCCAAACGCCCGTTAGATTGGATTTACTGCTCTCTTTGGTACCTCAATCGGCCAGCGCGGAAAAGCTGGTCGTAGGCGATCAACAGCCGGTCGGGGACGTCGCGAATAACGTGTCTTCCGAAACTTTGGTACCTACCAGGTGTCACTCTGTCGGTAGCTTGATGGAATTGGATCAGAACAATTCCGACAGGCGAATCAGAGAATTATTGCTGGAGGAGGAGCCAAGAACGGCGCCGATCACCGGCGAAGCGAAGCGAAAGCTGGAGACGACGCCTTCGATGGACGAAACCGCTGCCGCTGGCGCCAAGCGGAAAGAACGCTCCAGAAAGAAAGAGAGACCGGAAGAGAGAGAACCGAGAACGTACAAATCCGCGTCCAGGTAATAACGATTCGATTTACCGCGCACCATTATAATCTCGGTTTTTTCACTTTTTCACAAAAATTTCGTTCCTGTTCTAGGCATCACTCGGCCCCGATTCCAAACTCCATCACGGAGGAACCCATGGAAGTCGATCCTACGATGATCCTTCCTGTCAGTCCGAGCATCGATTTGAACACGGTGGAATCGACGGCAGCTTGTTTGGAGTTGATACAGGAGTGTACCGAACGATCGCCGAGCAAGGAACGTAGCAAAACTCCGGTCGCGGTCGGACAGGAGAAACGAGAGTCCGTCGATGCTCGAAGCGAACCCGAGGAACAACGTTCGCGGGACGAATCCCCCAGAGCCACCGAAGACGCGTCGATGCTCGACGAAGCGGCTAGCGACGCGACTTCGACGCAACCGGTATCCGAATCCGTCGCGGACACCGATCGGGATCGCGTTATCGAGAACGAAACGTCGGCCAGCCACGACTCGATCAATTTGGAGGCGACGCAGAGGGAGTTTAAGAAATTGAAAGAGAAGGCGCTGTCTCTCGACTCGGAATTGTCCAGCGAAACTCGCGACGTCCCCGCGAAGACGTTCGAGAGAAGACGCTCCAAGATATTCGAAACCGCCGAGAAGTTCAATCAGATGGCGTCGAACGTGGACAGCGAAAAACCGAAGAAAATCTTTATACCCGGGGTGAACGTGGGAGGCGCGAAACGCGTGTTCGAAAGGAAAGCCAGTCTCTCCTCGGTTAGTACGCCTCCTCCGGCTAAACCCGGCGCTTCCAAGGTGATCATCGACGTTCCCTCGGATACGAAGAAGAACGACAAGTCGAAGCCGCAACCGGAAACGGAGGGACAGCCGGACGAGGAGAAGAAGAAGGACGAAGCCAAGAAGCGAGCCGTCGATATAATAAGTGGCGCGATCGGTAAACCGCCCGTGCAAAAGAGGGTAAACGGCTCACCGCCGACTTCGCCGCCGACTTCGCCGCCGACTTCACCGCCGAGTCAAGAACCGAAAAAACTACCGCTCAAGATACCGGTCGGAACGAACGATTTGCGTTCGGCCACCGTCTCCGTTTCCACGCCAGTCGATACCAAATTCTCCTTCGACGATCAACGATCGGACAAGAACAAACGCGCGACGGTAAGTTCGAAAGATCGCGTCCGATCGAATCGTCTTTTCGTTCGCGAATCGATTCGTTACGTTTCCAGATATCCACGTCCGTGTCGGCGAGCACGAACGCCGAGCCGTCGAACGTCGACGATTCGCAGTTGGACGAGCCGAAAATGTCCAGTAAAATGGAGATTACGCTGAAGAGCGCGACGCTACCTAGACCGCGGAAGACCAGTAAAGCGGAGATCTCGTTGTCGAGCGGCAAACCGCAACAAGTTCCCGTTGCGTTCAAGTCCGAAGTGGAAGCAAAGATCGACGCGTTTCAACCGCAGAAGCTACGAACCCAAAGATCGGAGGTCGCGTTTCCGGTCGCGGCCGTGGTGCCGCAGGTGAATCGAAGCTCGAGCTTGGAGCCCGAGAGCAGACCGAAGTACGCCGCGCCTAAAGAGAGGATAATACCGATTCAGGTTCGCCCATATATCGTATCGTCTAATCGGTCAACGAAAAATACCAACTCGCTAACTCTCCGTACGAACGTTCGCGTTTGCAGGTGGAGGCGGATAACGAACGATCGCGACGCTCGTCGACGCCGCCGGCATCGAAGCCACCCGTGGCGCAAAGATCGATTTCCCAACGGTCGGGATCGTTGTCTCGACAGTCGACCGCCGACTCGGACACGGACAGCGCTCTCGGCTCGACCGTCGGCCCGGAACCGATCAGAAAGAGTCCTCGAGAGTACATTATACCCATCGCCGTGGAAGGTGGCGGATACGTGACTCCTAGGTCGGGTAGCGTAGAACCCGAGAGCAAAACTGGCACACCGACTAGCACGAACGCTCCGCGATCCAGGTTTACCAGACCGCGAAGAATGAGTTCTCTTCTGTCCGACGCTAGCGAAGACGAATCTCCCTTCTCCACGTTGCACAGGTAAACTCGAGTTCGACTATTTTTCCTAGTTTAATATTTCGTCGCGCGATACGTTTCGTTATTCGTCCGTTTTTTCGTTCGTTCAGGGATAGCGAGGACCTGTTGCAGCGACATATGCACAGATTGAGAAGCTCGCGACCGTCGAGGCAGCCACCGGAACACGCGGACAGCCTCTCTTCCGGAGAGGACGACGACGACGACGGATTCGAATTGTTGACCGCCGAGAATCTCTTCTCCACGCTGCTCTCCAGAGTGCGAAGCTTGACGCAGAGGCTAAACGTGGACGATAATCGTAGCACCGGTTTTCCGAGTTCCCGACTATTCGGAAGACTGGGATCCAACTCCTCGCAAGCTTTCTGGGCTCTCAATAAACCGTTGTCGAGGTAATTGCATCGAATCGTTCGTACGTACGTACGTACGACCGCTTGCGTCGCGAAACCGCAATGTCAACGGTATAATGCTTGTTTGCGCAAGCTACCAGACGTATGTCGAAACGAGGACCGTCACTACGTGAGTCCAATTGTTACAACAACTTTAGAGCAATGTAGTGTATGCCGATTATTTTAGAAGGTAGTGCAAAACATCACGAGTAATATTTCGAACGTTTCGTTTCGCGCGACTACTCTTACTTTCTTTCTCTTGCTTTTCTCGCCGGAGAAACAACCGTTTCGCTCGTTTGGTGGACAGCCCAAATCGTTTTCGCGCTCGTCCCGATATCTAACGCGATCGATCTAAAAATAAATTTCTCCTCTCGAAATCGCGTTCGACGCGTAGTCCGACAGCCTACTTTAGAAGCCTACAAGTTCCGTTTCCGACACCGTCCTCTTGCCCGTAGCGTCGCCCGTGGCATTCGCAAATCTGGCTCGTTACGATCGCGTCGCTTCGAAGTAATCATGAAATACGTCGTAGAAATTTCTAGCGACCGAAAACGAAATTCCTCGATGTATCTGGTGGAATGACCGTGACGATTTTCTTTGTTACGAATCCAGGCGATTGTCGGAGTCTCAATTCAGGCATTCTCTCAGCCGCGAAGGTGACGCGTTCTCGAAGAAGGATTCCGTCAACTCGACGAACCCGACCACTCCGAACAGTCCAGGATCGCGTGCCACTCCGTCGAGAGAGACCGTGTTCGATACCGGCAACGTCACCTTACCGAGAGGTAAGAAAAGAAAGTTTTCACGAGATTATCGTGAGGCCGTGTCGAATCGCAAAACGAATTGATCGATGTTGCTCTCCAGAGTGCGAAGCTTGACGCAGAGGCTAAACGTGGACGATAATCGTAGCACCGGTTTTCCGAGTTCCCGACTATTCGGAAGACTGGGATCCAACTCCTCGCAAGCTTTCTGGGCTCTCAATAAACCGTTGTCGAGGTAATTGCATCGAATCGTTCGTACGTACGTACGTACGACCGCTTGCGTCGCGAAACCGCAATGTCAACGGTATAATGCTTGTTTGCGCAAGCTACCAGACGTATGTCGAAACGAGGACCGTCACTACGTGAGTCCAATTGTTACAACAACTTTAGAGCAATGTAGTGTATGCCGATTATTTTAGAAGGTAGTGCAAAACATCACGAGTAATATTTCGAACGTTTCGTTTCGCGCGACTACTCTTACTTTCTTTCTCTTGCTTTTCTCGCCGGAGAAACAACCGTTTCGCTCGTTTGGTGGACAGCCCAAATCGTTTTCGCGCTCGTCCCGATATCTAACGCGATCGATCTAAAAATAAATTTCTCCTCTCGAAATCGCGTTCGACGCGTAGTCCGACAGCCTACTTTAGAAGCCTACAAGTTCCGTTTCCGACACCGTCCTCTTGCCCGTAGCGTCGCCCGTGGCATTCGCAAATCTGGCTCGTTACGATCGCGTCGCTTCGAAGTAATCATGAAATACGTCGTAGAAATTTCTAGCGACCGAAAACGAAATTCCTCGATGTATCTGGTGGAATGACCGTGACGATTTTCTTTGTTACGAATCCAGGCGATTGTCGGAGTCTCAATTCAGGCATTCTCTCAGCCGCGAAGGTGACGCGTTCTCGAAGAAGGATTCCGTCAACTCGACGAACCCGACCACTCCGAACAGTCCAGGATCGCGTGCCACTCCGTCGAGAGAGACCGTGTTCGATACCGGCAACGTCACCTTACCGAGAGGTAAGAAAAGAAAGTTTTCACGAGATTATCGTGAGGCCGTGTCGAATCGCAAAACGAATTGATCGATGTTGAAAAAGGAACTCGAGCCTTTCGCGTTCCCCGTTCGATCTCCGAATCGATCTTCGTTCGGAGATCGAACGGAGAATAACGCGAAGGAAGTCGGGCCTCGAATTCGATCCAGTGCCAAAATGTTATCGTCGTCGTTGTCGTCGTTGTCGTTGTCGTTGTCGTTGTCGTGGCAGTGGTAACTTCCGCTTGAAAGAGCTGCCGAATCGCGAGTAAGAAATTTACGTGAAAAATTTACGAAAAAGATACATTCGAACGCGTATTCTCTTCCGTTATACAGAGAGAGAGAGAAAGAGAGAGAAAGAGAGAAAGTTACCACGAAGCTTCTGCCAAGACGCTGCGATATTTTGTCACTGGTTGAAATATCGCGAGCCACGCGAGAAAATGCTGAATGGTATTCAGTATGCATCTCCTAGTACCTTAGCTGTTGTCGAGTCGTTGATAGACAGAGCACATCTTTTTTTCGTGTACTTTTTTCGTTTATCGATTTTACCTCTTGTCTCTTTATATCAATTTTTTCCGCTCTCGTACTTTTTCTTTTCTTTCTTCCTTTCTGTTACTACCTTTTCTTTCTTCACTATCCCAGCCCCAGCCTATTCCTCTTAACGAAGAGAACTCCCAAGGCGTTACCCTCCTCTTCGGAGAAAATTTTAACGAGTTCTTGCACGCAGATACGTCGCGTTATTCTAAATCCTCCTTGTGCATGGTTTTCGGCGTAGACGGCCGATGGATCGAAGAATATTTAACGTTACGGTTCCGATCACTTTAACGATCGTTTTCAAGCGATACTAGCCGCTAAGCATGGTCGCGCGCGTATCCACTCGACAAGAAGAAACGTTTTATCGATCATGCAGCAATCGCTCGAGTCTCATCGGAGCTTTAAGGATTAAATATCGTTTAAACCACGCGCACCGGAAACCGCGTACGGATAAATTCGTGGTAACGCGATTCGGTAACGCGCGAAAGATCGTCGAAATCCGAGAGTAACGCTTCGAGAGTTCTTCTCGACGTTTCGATTATTTTTTCGATTTCATTGCCTGACGATGTTTTTGCAACTTTTTTATACTAACCGCGGTTGGAATAGATAAGACGGTTCATGTTTGGCACAGGTGGGTAAACGTTTCGAGCTCGATAATTTCGCGGAAGGGATTTTTACGCGCGCGAGCTTTGAAATTTTTTCGTTTTTTCCCTCTCGCGTAGCATACGCGCGTAGCACGTTTCTCCGCGAAGCATGATGTCTGCACGATATCGTTCGCGTAACGTGACCCCGTGGCCGTCGGAATCGTCTTTTCCCTCCAAAAGTCGATCGCGGCGTGTTTCGGCGTTAAGTTATTCGCAAAACGCGTAACTCACACTTTGCCTAACAGAACCTTCTCGTAATACGCAATAGTAGTAGTAGTAGTAGTAGCAAGTTGCACTGTTGTTGTTCACTCACGCAAAGTAGTATCCTATTAACACGCGTAGAGCAGTAATACACATTTTTTTTTATCTTCTTTAATTCGTCGAACGCGTACACGAAAGTTCACAGCATGACCGTACACGAACACTAGCGATACACCGACACGCGCACACTCGTAATCACGAAACGAGGAAATTCGGTTCTACGCAACACTGTCCAAGATAGAATCCATTTTTCAATCAGAATTCATGCATATCTACTTTTTTCACACGTCTATCGTCGACTCTTCAATCAGCGATCGAACGAAGGACCTTGTTGTCCGTTCTTTTTCTTTTTTCTTTCTTTTTTTTTTAATCTTTTTTTTTTTTTGCCACCGCTGATCGATGAATACGAGAGATTATATTTTCGGTACACGTGCATCGCTGTTTTCCAAATTTTTAAAGACTGTACCTACAAACGCGACGTTCTCGAGACGCGAGAAAGATCGAAGCACCTACGCTTAACGCGTTTCGAAGGTTTCGATAGTGGAAAGGAGGTCGAGCACTTTTTCAAAATTACGAACCTCTGTTCTTTCTTACGAAGAAGCTTAAATAGTCGCTTTCGCTTTCATTGTTTTTTCTTCTCTTGAGATACTTGGTTCACCGTTTCGAAACGTTTAACGCAACGTGGTAAATGAATAATTGGTTTTCGCGCGCGCGTGTCAAATATCGAAAAGAGAGTAACGAGACGAAGCACGTGACAGGACGACATCGGTTCTTCGTCCGTGGAACGACACGTGAACCGATCGAATCGGTGCAAACGTATATCGAAAATATACTCGAAAGAATCGCGGTGGAATCGTATTTTATAATGACACGTGTAATTTACGGTATTTTCTGACGGTTGTTGCAGCGACCGTGCGAGTGACTCTACATAGGTGGCCGGACGGTAATCCCCAGTAGACAAACCAAGTTAGGTACTATGCTATACACTTTTATCTGGCGAATCTCGACTTCTCGTCGCTCTTTTCGCTCCCGTTAACGTTCGTAATCGTTACGTGCATCGATGTTCGCGACATTCGTGAAATTTGTCCATCGAGAAGAACGCGCTCGGTCACATATCCACTATCACTACCAACACTCATCGCTACCACCATCGATGCTACCGATCTCGCATAACTTCTTCGATCTTTCTTCTCGTTTTTCTTTTTTTTCCCGATCTTTTAATTTTCCTCTACAACGTCGAGCTCGCGTATCGAACGTAAAATAAACTATCACGGTTGTCGCAACTTAAGCGCTGTTCGTTCGTCGAAAGCTAACGACAACGGTTTCCTTTACAAGATACCTTTACGAATTGTTTCGGGGCAACGAATCGTGAAAAGTATAAAATACGAATCGATCACGGTTCGAAGAAGATACTTTTTTTATTTGTTTGTTCCTTATTTCCGTTCGGTAGCGAGAAAGCGGGGCATCGTTGGTTTTGCGGGTCCCTTCGAAACAGAAACACTGTAAAGAGCGACAGAATTTTCAGGCGAACGCGCGACGCGACAACGTTCTATCGTGAAAGATTTTGGCAAATCGCGAAGGGACACCATGGTACTTACTACTCGTCCAAACAAATAAGCAAACCTACAGGTTTTACAGGTTAGGATCATTGAAAATTGTTCCGGATTCGTAAACGTTGGTCGTTTACCAGCACGAGTAGACCGTGTAACCCGTCGAATTTGACAGAATTTTTTCCGAACAGTCTCGTGTCGGCTGCTCGCCCCCCCCCCG